ACGTCTTCCGAAAAACATGTTCTGGCTGAAATTACAGCAAAGCAGAATGAAATCAACAAGCATGTCAAGCGACTTGTTTCAATACATCCAAAAAGCGCAAAGCTTTTGAAGCCCATTGCCTTCAATGAAAGCAGTGTCGTTTTGCAGGATTCAGACTCAGACAACGAACGCCCTGTCAGCCAGCGTCACAATGGTTGGACACTGTTTCTGAAACAGCAGTTCGCGGCCAACATTTGCAAGTCGAGAGATGAAGTTCAAAGTGCGTCAGTTGACACCTGGAGGGCAAACCCGGAGCTGCGCAGAACTTTTTCTGCAAGGGCCAAGGTTCAGAACCGTCTTGCCAAGCAGGCTGAGCGTTCACGGGCAGCGGCATTGGTGACCCATCAGGCTGCACGGCCTAACAACTCGGATCAACTTGGTGATACCATCGTGGCACCGCTTGCAGAAGGCGCAGTTTCTTCTGGATGGGAGTTTATGCCAGTCGCCAAGCCATACACCGTTTCTAATGCTGCAACTGGAGACTGGGGTTTTGGTGACAAGGATTATTTGGTTAGCCATGATATCGTCCAGAACACCTTTTGCTCTGACACAAAATTGTTCGAAGCAGCTGTTGCAGAATGGAAAAGCAAATTTTCAGAACCCTGTCAATCTCAACCTTTGCCGTCGTTTGTGTCTCCGCGCCAGCCTTGCCAGAACGTTTGTATGCACAAGTTTCATGCAAACCATGAGGCAGCACAGGCATTGACTTGTTTGAAAAGCCTGGTGCGCTTGTGTCGCAAGAAGCGGGCAGATTTGGCAAAGTTGAAGGAACGAGTGACATTTGGCAGCGCTTTCCGTCCAGTGCTTCTTGTCTGCCGCAGTTCCAATGTCACTTTGCGTGGTTGGCTTCTGTCAAAGCTTAAGCTTAAACCGTTGGGAATGATTCTGGCTGGGCTTGATATATTGGAGACAACCCATACAGATTCCACATGTGTCCAGTTTCAATCCATTACTTTTTGTTGTCGTTGATTTCTTTTCGGCAAGTTTGGGGCTCAGGCTCAAACTCTAGTGTTTGAGAATGTTGTATTCTGTAATTACTCCAGTCAGGTATTGCCACTGCGACCATTCGCTTGGTGAAAGCTCACTTATCTGACGAGCTCCGCACTCCAGACTTCACATACATGGAAGAGCTTGCACTATGGGCTAGCCAGTATCCAAACGAGCTAGAGTGGCAATACCTTCACCACTACAGCTGTGTGACCCCAATGAAAGTTCAGGTTGAGCTTGATGATGGCAGCTGGCAACCAATGTCAGCATGGGCGACAGAGTTGCATCAGAGTCAGAATGAGTCCGGGGTTGCTAAAGAGATTTCAGATTGTATGAAGGAGTTGATGGATGTTGCAAAGAGTGCACAGAAACCACCCAAACGTCCAAAACAGACAGGTCGAGGGAAACCAGCTTACCAAGCGCGCGCTGTTCCTATTCCTTTAGAAGACGACAACACTTCGGATAGTGATGTTGATGTTGGTCAACCTCAACTTCTGGCCGATATTGAGAGCGCCTGGCTTGACGCAGCAAGCGTTACCCAAGAACCAAAACCAGAAGCAAACGATTCAAATAGGAAGCGCAAGCATAGTCAAACGGAGGTGGAGCAAAGTACACCTGCCGCAGCTTCATCCTCTGCAGCCAAAGCTGCAGCGCCTGCGCCAAGTGTTTGCTTGACTGTGGATGCACGAGGCGTTGTGTGGAATGGCGCTCGGCGCGTTGGTAGGATGACCGAGGTCAATGTCCATGATGTTTCCAAGCATTCCTTCTCCATTTACTGCAGTCTACATCGCAGCTGCTCAACCATGCGCAGGATGAAAGCTCTTCCGTTCAACGCGCAGGAGAGAATCCTTCAGTGGATGGAATTTGGATTGTCGGTGGCCACCAAAGAAGAGCATATGAATGCTTTCCAAGGGATTGTGATGAAATGATCTGATGTGATGGCCTGTGCCAAAAGGAATGCTTTTGAGTTTTTTTTGAACTGTGTCTTGTGTCTTGTGGTCATTTCATGTCATTTCGAACGCGTTAAGGTAATCTTTTGTTAGAGATGGAGACTGGACTGATAGACTCGCGTTCTGAAATCATTAGAGCTCAAGGTCCTCAAGGTCAAGGCAATCTGCGTTAGAGATACTGTAGAGACTGGACTGGACTGGACTGATGGACTGATAGACTTGTGACTATAGACTTGACTAGACTATATAAGACTGACTATTACTATGACTATTACACTATCTATAGACTATAGACTATAGACTATGGACTATGGACTGTTCGACTTAGACAGACATACAGGTGACATACATACTATTTGTAATTTTGTCGTGTTGGAGCAGTTGAACAAAGACAGTCCCAAAACAAGATGTGCTTGTGAGTTGTGAGGGTTTGCGCATGCAGCTGCGTGGTGTTGCATGTAGTTGAAAGCATAGCCAGCAAGCAACACAGCGTTTAGAGCGGATGGGAAGACGAGCTCAGCACACCAACCAACAAACGCTAAAGGAGGAGGTTCATTGAGCGTGTTTGCCTTTAAACTTAAAACTCAAACCCCATGTGAGGGGTTGGCGGCGTTGTAGCAGTGGTTGTGCGGGCTTCTCTTGCACATCCTGTTGACTGGTGTGTGGGTTCTTGTCCACTGAGTTACTGGCACGCGCAATGCTCACTGGTGCGTGTGGTTTGGCGCTTGTCAGGTATTTGTTTGGCGCAGCCCCATGCCATGCCCCCCCCCCCCACATGATCAGCTTCCTCCTGCTTTCCCTGCTCTGTTACTGGTTGTTATTTATCATTGATCATCTTTTAGATACCCACTCACTACTGTGCTGCTACTACTGGCGCCGGCATTGGTTTTCAGCTGGTTGCACCGCGTCTCTCTTCCATGGTGCATCTCCACTCGACTTGGTCAGCGCAGAGTTTTGTGGTCGCGCAGCAAGTGTAGTATACACCAGGCTAGGCTAGATCATTCCCGATTCGCCCGCACTGCAGGTAGAAGGCACGCGCGCAAGTACGTTATGTCACGCATGAATGGATGGATGGATGGATGACCCAGTGGATGGATGGATGGGTGGATGAATGGCTGGATGGATGAGGTAAGATGGGGTGATCCGCTGGTGATCCGATGAGAACACGCGCAGGCGCAGGCTCAGGATGTAAGATGGATGTTGATCAGGACACGCCAGGCTCAGGATATGATAATGATATGATATGAGGTAAGATGGAGAAGGGGGGAGGGGGGAGGTAAGATGGGGCGATCCGCAGGCTTAGGTAGCAATCTTCCCATTCGCTTGTCCAAGAGCAAAGGAGAACTTGTCTTCGCCTTTTTAGAACAGTTCGCCTCCATGTTAACTATTCCTTTTGCTGTTGGTGCCAGCTCTGTTTCAGGAACTGTGCTTGTGCCAAGCACAGTGTCAGCGGACAAGCTAACGGAAACACACAAAGAAGGCTAACAATGCACATTCTTTCACACCGTTTTGGCCTTACTTGCCAAACACATACCACTCAGCATAGGTGGCTTCAGCAAACCACTCTACTTGGCAGGCGGTAAACAGTAAAATAAATTAACACAGACAGCAGCCGCGCAAATAGGGGCAGCAAGCGTTCTTGAATCTGTTTGATTGTCATTGGAGCGGAAATGTTAAAATGATGTTCATCGGTTAGTTAGCTGGGGGCTTCATTTTGGGGGCGAAGCGGTCTGGATGTGCGCATGTGCTTCTTGTGTGTTTTGGATTGTGTCTTGATTATGCTGTGCAGTGTTTCTTGTGAAACGCACAAACTCAACCACGTTTTGACAGCTTATTTGACTGTTTGATTTGTGCAGCAGTTTCAGTTTGCAGCACTCTTTGCTGTATGCATGGGTTTGCGTTTGTGTGTAATTATGCATGGCTGCATGACTGTACGTTCATGTATGCAAGCTGCAAGACACATCAATGCAAACACAAACACAACATAGGGACGATAACGATGAACAACATCAAAATGATAAACATTACAAAACCAAAGTAGTGCAAGACAAGGAACACTCAGCAGAAAACGCTGCTTGAACAGTAGCTGTGCCATCACACAAGCAAGTTATCCCCATGGCCCATGAAGGAACTTTCTTTGTGAACAAACCAGTGCTTGCACAGTAGCTATGTCATCCACACATGTGTGTTATTTTCATTGGCGCGGAGCTTATTCATGCTCAATGCTAACAGGAACTGGCCGATGTTCTTTTGTTTTTGCAGCAGAACAAGAGCACATAACACTAATTATGTAAAGCATTTATGGCAGGTATTTACGAATTATGTAAAATATTTGGTAACTAGATATTTTGAGGTGTTAAGCTAGTATTTCTTAATTATTTTAAGTGATTAGCACATATTTTACATTAACGTAAATCATGTACATAAATATTTTTATGTTGACGTAAATCATGTTACATAAATATATATGTTTGACATAAATCATACACATAAATAGTTTTATTTTAACATAAAACATACATAACACATATATATATATATATATGTTTGGTGCTGTTATTGTTTCTTGGAAAAAGATATTGCACAAGCGTACAGAAGCGACCACAACACCATGTGTGCCTTTGTCAGTTTTTCAGAATGCACTTGACAGTGTTCTATTTTGGAATGCAGTTTTTTCCAAAGATTAGCTGTTGGTTCAAACTTTGGGTCACATAGCTAGTGCTTGTGGCGCATATGACTTCGCAAGCTGGATCGCAAGCTGCGATGGGAGAGTCTGCTTGGCCTAAAGCAGAGCCCCCCGCAATTCCGCCTGGCTTTCCAGAGACATATGTTCCAAAGAGGTGCTGGATCTGTGGAGCCTGGTCCAATGATGAGTCTCCGTATGAGCAATCTTCGACTGAGTTCAAGCTTTGGCAAGGCCTTTTGGTTTGGGACCAAGGTACTGCCGAAGATCCAAAAGGTTCTATCGATAGGCTTTGTCGGACAGTTTGGTCGGTGGGTACTTGGCCAACACAGTACAAGTCCATGGCGGATTTGAAGCAAGCAAGCCGCAGAGACCCCACCATTTTGCACCCATTCTTGGCAGAGCGAGCCGAGCTTGTCACCATCAAGCAGAACAATCCGAACTCGCGGCTGATGGAGAAGGGACTTCTGGCCAAGCGGGTTTCTGTGAACGCTGCTGATGTTGCTGAGACTGGTTTGGAGGCACCTTGGTAATTGTAATTGTGATGTTGTCACTGAATGGATGTGAATGCCATATGTCCTGCAGCAGTTGTTGTTTAGTTTAAAACACTTTGGGGCTTGTTGGTTTGTTTTTAATATATAAACAAATTTTGTCAGTCTGGGCTTTGCACAGGCGCCACCATCCTATTTTGTGGAACTATGGAAGTATCGACAACTTCATGGTGGTCAAGATCCAGATCCTGAACGCATTGTCAAGATGAACCTCGGCGGCTTCACTGTGCCTGGTGTGGAAGTCGAGGATGAGAACATGAAGGGCATACACAAACGAATCAATCGCAGCTACAACTCGGTCAAAAAGATTGCTCATATTCATGAGGGAGACATCACATTGAACCGTCAAGCGCCAAATGAGATCTTTGAGGAGACCCGCAAGCAAGTCATTTCACAACAGTCAAAAGCACCTGCTTTGTCTATGGCTTTTGGCACGCCAGTTGGGATCGCTTCCAGTTCGTCAACTGATGCTCCCCAGAAGAAGACTGACAGTGTTGATGCACAAGATGGCCATGAGACTCAGCATGCTGATGAGGATGATGAGGAAGCTACCAACCTCACTTCTTGGCTATCAGAATTTGGCTTTTGCAAAAGGTCAGATGCCACATCGCCTGCCAAAGCATCGGCGAAGGCAAAAGCAGAGAAACCAAAATCAACAAGAAAGAATCCATCGTCGACCATCACAAAGCCCAAGAAGCCAGAGAAGCCAGTTGAAGCCGCACCGCCTGCACCCAAACGTAGGAGCAGCAAGATGGAGACTTCTGAAGGCAAGGGTGTGGATGGCCAGCCAGAGCCTGCTAGCAAGCCTGCTGAGGAAGTGGCAGATGACACCATCCGAAGACGTGGCCGAAAACAAACATCGCAACTTGACATGGAAGACAGGGAGGCATTGGACAAGATCAAGGAAGAACTGGCATCTTACAGCACGATTGAAGCAGATTCGATGGATGATTTCCAGTATTATGTCAAACTGGCAAAATCCATGGGGAAAATCAATACCCAGCTTGTTCAAAAGCAGCGCACGATGCAGCGCCGGAGCGCACCATCATCTGTTGCTGGTGAGTTTGAAGAAGTTGGAGCTCAGATCAAAGCTGTCATTGATATTGCCAAGGCTTTTTCATCCCAAGACGGTGACAAGCTCAATTCACTGCTTGAGAACATGTCAGGCTCACTTTCGCTGGGCTTGTCTTCTGAGAAGCAGCGCATCAAACTACTTGCCTTTGCCGACCTTGCTAGCGGTCGATGGGATGAGCTGGAGACGAAGACCGTGCCTATGATTTCAGACTTGGACATTGATAATGGTCAAAAGTTTGAGTTCCTGCACCTTCTTGTGACAAATCTATTTCAGCGACTCCTCCGAGGAAAAGCATCTGGTGGCATTGTCTCTGCCGCATCTCTTGATGTGCATGCCTTTGACTTTGTGCGTGAGTTTACATCCCGAATGCCACCAATCCTTGCAAAGCAAGCATTCGCACAAACCTCTGAAGCGTTTAAGGATTTGTCAGAAGACTTTGCGACAGTTGAAGTGCTTTTGTCAGCCAACTCAAAGCTTCCAGCGGATGTGAAGAAAGCTTTGGAGAATGTCGCTTCACATGAGTCTAGGCCAGTACTGGCTGCCATCGTCGGTCTACCAGCAGGAAAGCGCATCATTGATTTGGCTGAAAAAGCTGCTGAAGGGAATGCTCACCTTGATGAGATTAGAGTTGTGCAAAACAAGATTGACTCTCTGCCAGTTGGAGTGTACCTCCTTGACATCTCGACCATCAACACAATGATTGAGTTGTCCAACGAGCTAGACAAACTGAGGCAAAAACACATCAGAAGATCTTCCTTGGGTCTGGTTACCACTATGATGAATGGCTTGCAGGAGAAGTTCATGGAAACAGCAAACGCTCATGTCAAAACCAATCTGATTCCCTATGTCGTTGCCTTCACAGCAGACCTCAAGGGTTCTGATCAGCCAGAGACATGGACAATCCGCAAGCTGCAGAGCATCGCAAACCCAAAGCTGAAAAAGTTGCTTCAGATCCATGATGTGCTCAAGGACTTGAAGGAAACTTTGAACAGTATGTCCCAAAATGGTACAGCCCTCGGCGAGAAGGTGGTCCATGATTTGGTAACTGGTCTAAGAGCTCTTCAACAGCCAGCAAATGAGTTTGGTGCAGGCTTGGTTGATGCCCTTGCAGGCTTGATTGCGAAAATCAACTCAACCGCAGACAGCGTCATTGATTCATTTCTGGAGCAGCAGCGAAAGTCTATGGCTTCTTGGGTTGATGAACACAAGGACGCTTCCAGTGGAAAGCCTACCTCTGCTGATGTGGACGCTCTCTCCCAGATCGTGGAGTCATTTTGCCGCAGCTGCGCTGCAGCCAAACCATCTGATGTAGATAGACAATGTCAGGTGGATGCTGCAACTTTCATGGTCCGGTTCTTCCATTGTTGGTCTCTTCTTCCAAGCGCTGATGATGAAACAGAGTTGGCGCCTGAGTTCATCAAGCTGACACGTGAACTTGTGAGCATGCTCAAATTGGAGAAGGACATCTTCAAGGATGAAGCAACTTGGTCCCAGATTCACATGCCCTTGTACTTGATCAACTTCTTGGAGAACATGACCGCTCTCTTGGGCAGCGATAGTGATACCACAGTGGTGGAGCCAGTTGTCAAGAATGTCTTTGGCACCTACCGTGCAGGTTGCTTGAAATCGATTGCCAAAGCTGAATCGAAATGTTCCGATGTCCTCAACCTCAATCGCGGAGTTTCATTCCCAGTGTACAACCCAGACCTGGGTCCTGATGCTGCAGACCGCACGTATTGCGGTATTGCAGATGCTATGGCCTTGAAATTGTTCGCAACCGAAGCCCGCGATGCAAAGCAGCTTTGTCAAGAAGCAGTGAAAATGACTGGAGCTCCAACAGAGTCCTTTGTGGGATACACAAGGGTGGTGAGCTTTCACAGGGAGGTGTTGGAAACCATGACCACCAGGACGATCATCAAGGTGCTTCAGTCCAAAGCTGCTATCGAAACAAGAAAGAGTCAGTTGGCCAACTGCATGCAGCTGGCACAGGATGAGATGCTCAGTATCCCCGCCAGTGTGCAAGCTCGCGCAACTGATTTGTAAAACCTATGGCACTCATTTTGAGAGCCTGGAACCAACTTTTGGTTTTGGTTTTGGTGTGTTGGGGAACAGGAAGATGTACAAGCATTTCCTGGCCTGACACTTGTTGTCCTATTGATCACATTGCACTGGCAAGCGTTCTTTCTTACTAAGAAATGTTGACAGTTCACAGCGTTTTTTTAGTTAGTGTCAGTATCAGTGTATGTATGTGTCTACACTCGAGACTCCAGATTGTGTATTTGCTCACTCTTGGATGCTGCCCATGCCGTTTCAACTGTGCAATTTTAACAGATGATCAAATCACATTGATTCCTTCAAATGTTTGCGTCAGCCGTGCGGGATGGCTGGCGCATTGCAGGGGCCAAACTAGTGGCACTGAATTCAGGTTATGTCGTTTAGTTGAAGTACAGACCAAACTACTTGAGCCTGCCTTGAACAGGTGACAAGTTGGTAGAAACATACGGCTAGAAAGCCGCCTATAGCTCTGCAAATGAGGAAAAGAAAGAAGACTCAGACTGAAGTTGAAAGCAAGACATAGCATAGCTAATGGCATGGTGCTCGGAAGTTGGCAAGCTACAGCTTTCTTTTTTTTGCAGTCGCAACCTTGACCTTGTCCCCACTCTCATCTCGTTTCAAGATCAACTCGAAGGCTGCTTTAGCATGTTTCCTGCTTGGAGAGGCGTTCAATGATCAGAATCAGATTAGAAACCTGGACTGACACTCACACTTGTGTTTTTTTTAAGCGCTGCATAGCTCTGCGAAGATGGCCGGTCGTGCAAAAGCCATGGCAAGGCAGCCTAAAGCCAAAGCAAAGAACAAAGCATTGCCCAAGCCTAAACCAAAGGCAGTGCCTAAACCAAAGGCAGAGCCTAAACCAAAAGCGCTTTCCAAAGGCAGAGGCAAGGGAAAGCGCAAATTTGATGAGTCTTGGCCTAAGCATCGCTTGCCTGGCCATGCTGCCATTGACGGTTGGGTTGTCAAGCGGCCCCGCCAATGTTCTGACTCTCCGATTGAGAATGATCATGGTCGTGACAGTGACAATGATGATGATGATGAAGCTGGTGAGGCTGCTGAAACTTCCAGTCAGACTCAGACTGCTGGCATTCTTCAGGACAGAGACGCCCAAGCAAAGACTCCACCTTCCTATGATGCTCATCAAACCGGGGATAGCCGTGAGCAGACTTTCCAGCAGCAGCAACATGTTGAAAGTGGTGACTTCACAGCACCAGCTGCTAGTGCTCCCACCACTGTGGATGAGGACAGCCAGCCAGACTTGCGACTGGACATGGACAAGAACGCTGAGACAAGCCCAGGGCTAGAGCCCAACACAGACTTGCCACATGCTAGCGACAACACGAAGACAAAAACCGATGAAGCCGATGAATCATGTGATGGAGGACTCACCGAGATGTTGGAGAACATCATGGATCAGGAGCAATTGGACGGTCATGATTCCCCCAAGGCGACCGAGTTTTGCCCCAACAATGACACTGCTGAAGCTGATGCTGATTCTGGTGCTAGTGGCGGCGGTGGTGGAGATGAAGCTTGGCCGGAATGCATCTTGATGCCGTGGTCACAAACCAGTTTGCACCAACAGGCTGCAGCTGCCCTACTTGATCAGCTGAAGTTCATTCTTGGAAAAGACGTGTTGCAGAAGCAGATTGATTCATGGCCTGTACAATTGAAGATCGGAACTGCTTGCTCAGGCACCGGTGCGGCAGAGGACGCACTGTTCTGCTTTGTAGATGCACTCCATCTCGATGAAGACTTGAAGATCGGAAAGGACTTCACTGCAAACATCAGCTTCATGGTCGAGAAGGCTAAATTCAAACAGAAGTTCCTGTCCTGCGTCCACGTAGATTGCTTTGATCAGGCTGGAGGTGGAGGGTGTCATTTGTTCAATGATGTGACCTGTGAGAGGATGCAATGCTTGATTCACAGGCAGTGTGACGATTGTGCCTCAGATTAGTCAGTCTATTTGTTGTGCGATATTTTACTTGTAGGTAGGACTGGATTGTGGGACAGTAGATGTTTGTAAATGGCGAGCTGTGAACTAGTAGGGGCTTGCTCCTTGCCAGTGGTTGGAATGTTTGATCTTGCAATTCACAAATCGAGGTCACTCCATGGTGACTAGACAAGAGCTGGACATTTTTGTCGCAGGCTTTAGTTGCAAGAGCTTTTCCGGTATGAATCCAAACTCATCTTCCTCAGCCAGCCTTTTGCACAATCCAACCTCAGAGCAGCTTGAGAAGAGCTGTTCGTTGAGAACATACGTGGGTGTGCGAAAATTGATCAAAGAAACCACTCCTAAGCTTGTGATCCTTGAGAACGTGGAGAACATTGCCAACACCGATGTAGTCGCCAAGGCTTCCGACAAGAACTACATGACCAACCTTGAAGTTGTTCTTGGTGACCTCCGTTCCATGGGATATGCAGCGACCGCGGTTCCAGTTTCAAGTGTTACGTTTGGGATACCTCAAACACGTACCCGTTACTTTTTCATGGCCATCAAGAAAGACAGCGACCCAGACAAGACAGTAGCCTCATTGAATCGCAGTACGGATGTCCTGGAACAGTTTGAGTTGGGCTGTACAGATGCCCTTTCTTACTTACTTCCTCATGAACACATACAGGTTGAGCAACTTCTCGGGCACAAACAGCAAGAGGCAGAATCGAGAGAGGATAGCGCCGTCAATACGAAGTGGCAGGCATCACACATGGCAATGGCAGAAAAGATGGGAGTTGTTTGGCCTCTCCCAGTTGATGATGAACTAGCATCTTCTGAGTTTTTCCAAACGTTGACCCAAAGGGAAAAGGAACTCATCATTTTTACCAAGTTGTCCAATGATCGGCGGAACAAGGGCGACAGGCTAGTGGAATTTGTAGACCTGTCCCAATCGGCCGGTCGTACTCCATGTTCTGCTGCAAATGTGGTTCCAACCCTGCTTCCAGGGACAAAGCTTTGGTCTTTGTCAAAGAACAGAATGCTCACAGGAATGGAGCATATGTGCCTTCAAGGCCTTGTCTTTTGCGAAGCTGACCGGAAGTTTGTGGGTTTCTCACACAACCAGTTGTGTGATTTAGCTGGAAATGCCTTTACAGGCCCAGCATTCATGGGTGTATTGATAGCACTGCTGTCGCAGATGAATGCACTGAGTGCAAATGTCGATGACCCCATTGATGGGGATATCGAATCCTTGTTTGAATGTGCAGGATCCACTTTGAAATGACAGAGACCAGTCCGCTTTGGTGTGTTGAAAAACATGTGGAGCAGCTGTGCGTCCTTTTGTTTTGAGTGCGGTATGATGCGGCTTCATTTCCTCTGGGTGCGATGCCGAAAGCCAAGATGTCCTTTGCAAACCTTTTTTTGTAATATGATATGTTATGTCAATGACCTTATGTAAACTTATGTATTTATGATATGTATTTTCGAAATATGTCTGGATTCATTTCCGACACCTCCCCAGGGTATCTAATAGAGCAGCACTATTGAATTTTCATAAGCTAAAGCAGTTGAAGAGTACGCACGACGTCGAGCAGAAGAAGCCTTGGCAAAACCTTTTGGTGAGCTGGAAGGACGTGACGAGGAGTACCTTGATGACAAGGACTTGAAGGACAAGCAGAAGAAGGAGACTGAGCTCAAGAAGCCTGGTGATGGAGAACGAGAACAAGCAGTTCCATACACGCCGGAGAACCTCCCGTACACTCCGACAGAACCTCCGGATGATTTGGCCGTGAAGGATGCAGAGCCAGACCAGCAACATGCAGGAGGAGTTCGTGATGAACCTCAAGGCGGACTACATCCTCAAGTTCCTCAACAACCTGGTGGACTTCAACATCCTCAAGGACAACTTCGACCTCATGGTGAACTTCCTGGATAAGAACCTCCCACGAAGAGTGCACGAACAGAGCCGGTCAAGAAAGCAAAGGTGGAATTTGCAGTTCCTCCGAGAACATCCCCATCGTCTTCACCAACGGCAAGCAGCTTAGCAGCAGCACCTTCATTCGCAGGTGGTATCCAAGAAGTGGCTTTGGATGAGCAAGAGTTCGTCGAGGTGGACGAATACCCTTTGGTGGACCTCAAGGACTGGGGCGAGTTCAATGAAGTTGACCTGGAGCAGGAATCTGAAGAAGCTGGACCTCCAGATGTCTCTGAAGAGATGTTGGCGCAGTTGGATTTGGAGGCAGATGAGCGAGAGATCACAAGGCTCAAGGAAATGGGCGTCCTCATTCCCAAGAATGGCAACTTTGAGGGCTACAGGTTCCTGACGACCAAGAAAGCCTATGACTGGAGATAGCGACTTAAGGAAGAAACTGGCAAGTTTGGCTGGATGAGACGGTCAAGACTGGTTGGCAGAGACTACAAGTTTCTTTCGCCTGAAATGGAGAATTTGTTCAGCCCAACAAGCAATGCAATTGGAGTGAAATTGTGGGCAGCATTGGTTCAGTCGAGCCAAGGAGAACTTGGTCTATGGGCAGTCGATGTGAAGGACGCCTACCTCATGGTACCCCAAGAGGAGAAGGCCTATGTGGAGTGCAATGGCGAGTTCTTTGAACTTGGACGATGCCTACCTGGACAACGAGTTGGTTCCAAGGCATGGTATGACCACTTGGGCAAAGTGGCAAGAGACCAAGGGCCGCGTTTTTTTTAAAGGATTTTTTCCGTTTTTTTTTTTATTTTTTTTCTGGTCCTGTTGTGGGCGCCTTCCCTCAGGCTCGTGTCTCCAAAATGATAGTTGTTTCTCCGCAAGCTGGCCACCTGCAAGTGCTCACCTTCTTTCCTTCCTTTCTTGCTGCCTTCTTTCCTTCCCTTCCCTTCCCTTCCTTCCTTCCTTCCCTCCTTCCTTTCTTCCTTCCTGCATCACATAAGCAAAGCAAGGATAGCGAACAGCCACAAAAGCAAAAAGCAACAAAAGCCAACAGAAGCCTTCGAAAGTCAACACAAGTCACCAAAAGCCAACAGAAGCCAGCAAAAACCAACAGAAGCGAGCAACAGCTACCAG